GTTATTGTATCTCATAATTTATTAAGTTGTGATCGAAAAATAGCACGTGACTAATTAATTTAATAATTTATGACCATTAAATAAGTTGTAACTTAGGCCCCGTTTGGTACTCATTTTTTTCAAAATACATTTCTCTCTCTCTCTTTTTCAAACACACATTCTTTATTAAAATAATATTACACGTAAATCAAAAAAATTTCTTTATTTTTCAACCACGTATTTTTCATCAATTTACTATTCAAAAATGTATTTTTACATAAAAATATCTCCCAAACACCCTCTTATAAAAATTGTGATTTGTTGATCGGTAACTAAATTATAACTTATAAAATTTTTGATTAGTGATCTATAATTCATTTTTTTTAAATAGAGAAATAATTTGTGAGTAATTAATTCGATAATTTGTAACTAAATTGTATAGAATTGTGATTTTAATATATTTAATTAATTATTTTCATAAATAAAATTTAATTAATATCTAATTTTTGAAGTTTTAAATTTTGTTTCTTAGTTTTGAAATGGATCATACTTAATCTACTAGATATGAAATTTTCCGTAATTATTTTTATTGTGGGCAATGTACAAACTACAATATAATATTAAAATTGTATTACATTTTTCTAAAAATGGAATACCCCATATTTTTAATTGTTTCGAGCAATCTCACGATTGTGATCAACTATAGTTTCAACAAAAGCAAGCCATATAGCCGACCAACTTGAACGTAATTGTTAGAAATCAGCAGATAACGATAAGTTAATAGTTAACTATGCTTGAAATAATGATTATGATTAATTACAATATTTTCTTGTTTGAGCCTCATCTTAAGTGAAAGAATGCATTTTTAAATAGTGATTGATGGAGAATGCGTGGTTAAAAATTAAGGAAAATTTTTGAATTTGCATATTATAATATTTTATTCAAAAATATGTGGTTGAAAATAAATTTTGAGAAAATGAATTTTTGAAAGATTGGCTGAAACAAGGACATATTCTAAGTTTTACTTTACTTTTCTTTTTTATGCTTCACAATTAACTACGGTGGCAAGATTTCAAGTAGTGGACTTACAGGTGGGCTAGGAAACTGAAGACTCAATTGACGGATTTATTTATCGTCGAAAATAAAGTTGAGTTTCGCTATGTGCTAGTAAAGGTAGACAGATAGCATTTAATAATAAAAATTAAAAAAAAAATCCAATTTTTTTGGCAAGAATAAAACCATGTGTACAAGGAAAATATTCACATGAGTCTTACATATCCCTGACATGGGGTAGGCCCCACGCGGGCCCCAATTTGAAAAAAAAAATGATCCCACCCCATGTGAGACCTCTGTAAGGGATCTATAAGAGTTAGGGTTGTACGTCTAGCTTGGTCCTTTTTGGCAATCAACGCAATCCCTCTACTTGTGCTTCTGTAACCCTTTCTGGCAAAAACTTTTGACAGTATGACAAAATTCAATAAAGTTAGCTCAAAGTATAAACTTAACCTTCTGCCTTGACAGGGAGTCGCTCTCACCAATTGAACTATAATTTCAAGGGAAAATGGGATCTAGTAGAAAATATTGATTTTCTTTATTTAAGTATTTCGCATGGGGTATTTCAAAAGGAAAATAAGGTTGTTTCATGTCATGGTAACTATTAGACCAAGCTGGATTTAAAGTAGCATGGACATTGCCAATGAATTTACAGTTCGTTCTGATTAATCGATTGGACATCGACTCAGAAAGAACGGAAAAGTGGCTGGCATTCCTAAAAAAAGGTTGAACCCCAACCTTAGGGGCCCCCACCGACCCTGCCCTGGGCCATTGTGGAGGAGGTAAATCGCAGGATGTGCCTCCCAGGAGCCAGGGTGGAGAGCACATGGATAGGCCAAGGCTATTAACCATATGGTAACTCCCGCTTGCAACAAAGCCAATTCCACCTTGCGGGGAATCGAACTCTGCACACTGCCGCGCTGAGCCCTATTCGCCCTCCCCTTTGCCACTGGGAGATATGCCCTGGGGGCGGCTGGCATTCCTTATTTCATTCTTCCTAGTGCCAGCATTGTAATGAAAGCAAAGACAGGATAAGCATAACTTCCTATATGCCCCCGTTTTTTTGCCTCATTTATTTAAAATTTATTTTTTCTCAAATTTTAATCATAATATTATACTTTTATACG